TCTGTCTCTCTCTGTCCCAAAAATAAATAAAAACGTTGAAAAAAAAAATTAAAAAAAAAAAAAACTTCCACTTCTCACAGCCAGAGATTCACAGGGAATAAACGTGTGTGTTAGTAATGTTTGATATGCAATAAGGGATGAATATCATCACAAATACATGTTACATTTATCAGACACAGACCAGCCGTCATCACAGATGGCACCTATTAATGTTGCTAAAGAACTTCTGTGCTTGCCACTTCCTCAAGCATCTGGTGGCCTCTCCATGCCACAAATTCTTGGTAGGGCCCAAATTCCATGCAGGCACATTACTGCATAGTAATAATGACTATTTACAGGGCTTAGTGTTTTCCTTCCATATAAGGTAGTTTAGATTAAAAAGTCAGTAGAATTCTTATTATTCTCATTGTGGTACACTCACTCACATATCCTGGAACCCAGGGTTCCACAGAACCAAGCTGGGAAAACATTGCCCTGGTATACCGGCATTCATTTGTGTAATTTCAATTATCACCTGCAAAGCCACAAATCTAATATTCTCCGTGAAAATTTTCCTTGATATTGCTAATTTGAACAGTACTCAGTTTTGCAATCCCATAGCTCCTGGCAGTGCTCAGTATGTATTTGGGGGAAGAAATGATGGACAGGAGAGAGGGAGTAGGGAATCTTACTAATTCTTATGGCATTTCTGTAAATTTGGCAATTATAGTGAAAGTGATACAAGGGAAAGTTCACAAAATCATTTAGCATAAAATTCCTGTTGAAATCAAATATGGATATAATTTAAATTATTCCTGTTAGGGGTCAGTAGAATTAAAACAGGTTTTCCAGCAAGATTTTGTTAAGTAGAAATGTGCTTTTGTTAAGAAACTCTGAGACATGCTACAAAAACCTTTACATAAGTACTAAGATTACCCATGGTCTAGACCTGCTCTTTTGCTGCACTTACAATTTTGTAAATTCTCAACTTATTTCCCAATTTTTCTCCATTCTGGGATTTAATTTTTCCTGATATCACACGTCCAGTCCACTTAGTTAAGGGGTGTGGGCCGGGGAGGGCAGGGGAATTTATTATGCCAGGGTTTTTGCATCCTCAAGTCAGGTTTGGTCCTTACTTGATTATTTACTTTATGTCTGTCTGCTTTGGCCTAAATAAAGCCTAGAGTTGTTCTTCTGGGTCATGGAGAATCTATTATGTCTTCCCATGGATTTGATTATTTTACATTACAGTGGGCAAGGTGTTTTTTTTTTAATGTATGAAATTTATTGTCAAATTGGTTTCCATACAACACCCAGTGTTCATCCCGGGCAAGGTTTTTTGAAGTAGCTACTGATAATTACCCTGCTATTCTGTGACTGAAGTCACTTATCCCTTCTTAAGGAGGATAGATAATCCTACTATGAGTATAGTTTTATAAGATTTGCTTTCAAACAAACATGTTTCTCTGTTTTCTTACTGCCTTCTTTGGTTTTGATAGTTTCAAAGAGAGCATGGAGAAATCCTCATATTCCGACTGGCTTATAAATAACAGTGTTGCCGAGCTAGTGGCTTCCACAGGCCTCCCGGTGAACATCAGTGATGCCTACCAGGATCCTCGCTTTGATGCCGAGGTAAGAGGAATTCTCTGGTTGCACTCTTAAGGTTCAGTTGTCACACTGGTGATGGTTTGCTGGTTGAAGCAAAAAAGGGACATCGTATACATCACAGTCACCCCTGAGTTTACTGGCAGGTTTTTTTTGTTTTTTTGTTTTTTTTTTTTGCGTCTTTCCCCTGTGATCAGATTTTTAGCATTGTCTACTGTTGAGTAACAGAAAAATCTCTCTCTACTCTGATTTGTGGCAAAATGGCTATCTATTATGTATTACTTTGATGCTCTTTACAATTGGGTACATATTATATTGCATGTACCCATGCATTAATTCATGAACACTTTATATTAAAGATAGTTTATATTAAACTATGAAATAGTTATTAATAAAAATGTGGATATAACATAGTTATTTCCCAACAGATGCTAGAACAATTACCATGTTTTAAAAAATTGCTCCCAAGAAATGGTAAATTGGTTTGTTATTGTTTAATGTTAATTTTGAAGGCACATTTTGCTATATACAGAATATATTAAAGCAACCTAGACTTGCAGGTGTTTAAATTCTAAGTATCTACAGTATCATACAGACAAATTTACACGAACTTATAAAATATCTTTGTGTGTGCGTGTGTGTGCGTATTCAATAAATTACACGTTTCCTATTCTATATTGCCAAGTGAAGATCTAAAGAGTAGCAGGAGTTTTAGGTGGAGATGTGTTCTAGGCAAAGCTGAGAGAGCATGGGGCCCGGGGGATGGGGATGCTGGGGGGTTGGGGGCTGGGGGCTGAGGCGAGTTAATGCTGCTGAAGCATCAGGTAGATGAGGCTGGAGAGGGAAGCAGGGGCCAGATTGCTCCAATCTGGAAGCTGCATTACGAAGTTTGAGTATTTATCCTGGGCAACGGGGAATCAGTAGTTGAGTTTTTAATCAGGGAGACACAGGAGTTGTATTTTAGGAAGATCACACCACTTCGGTGGCTACAGCACGGAGGATACATTAGCAATAAGAACTGAACATTTAGCTGAAATGAGAGCTGGTTGATGACTCTGGAGACAGACAGGGATTCAGTCTCAGTCTCTGAACTCCAGAGCCCTCCCCCTCAGCCTTGCCCTGTGCTGTCCCACATCTGGGGTGGGTCACGATGTGGCAGGGGGCTTCAGTCTAAACCAAACTTAGAACTTTAGTCATGTCATCTTTCCAGATCTCTGCAGGGAGATTTTAGATTCCCCAAAACTCAGCACCTCTCTGTAGCTGCCTGGAGCTTTCTTCCCCCAGGCTCTGTCCTCTAGTAGTTTCTATTAATTCTTAAGCATAGAGTTCAGCTGCTCCTACCTTGCAAATCCTTTCATGAACTCCCAGTCTGGGTTGGGTGTCTCTGCAGCATGCTCCCCCTGAGCTGTCCCCATGCTGACCACCCTCTAGGTCTCTTCAGTTCTGATGCATTATTTCTGAGCTTTGAGTTACCTTCCTCGGGGAAGTACACAGCCCAAAGCTCCTTTAGTTGTCCTCCTTTGAGGGAGAATAACACCACTTTGGTTCTGTGATTAGCAGAGCAGAAATGATTGATAGAGCTCAATATTTGTATACTTTAGCATTATGATTGGGCTAGGACTAATTCGATGAAGTTTTGCCTTTGGCCATGTTTCTTTCTTCCTTGCTTTTAGAGAGAAAATACTGAAGAACAGATGTCTAAACACAATTTTATGAAGGAATGCTCTCAGTATCCTCTTATTGACATCAGTAATAGTTGAACAAACTACAAGCCTTGCTATGCAGAAAAATCATTCATTACCAATCCTTTGTTACCAAGCCATCATGTGAGATTAGATGTCAAGGGGTGATGGGTTGGTTCCTACCCCAAATCATAGTACTAAATTTGGTATGGATTTATGTTATTCTGCTCTTAGCTTTGAACCGTGAAGTCAAATTCTGAGGAAGCAAAAGGAATCAAAAAATTACACCATTTTATTTGTTTTACACCATTTTAAAAAGCTGGTTCATTAGCCGTATGTTAAGGTATAACAAAACATGATGCAGTGAACACCCACTACCCAGTTTAAGAAAAGAACAAGATGATTACTTTTGAATCCTTGTACTGATCTTCTCTAGTACTTTCTCCTTTACTTTCCCTGCTGAGGTAACCACTCTCCTAATTTGAATTTAACACTCTTTTGCTTTTCTGTGTAGGTTCATTGCATATGTTTGACTCCATGCCAAATACGTCATTATGTCTTGTGTTTCTCTGAAATTTATAGAAATTAAATTATATTGTATGTATTCTTCTGTGGCTTGTTTTTTCATTCAACGTATGTTCCTGAGTCATAGGAGTTTGTAATTCATTCATTTAGTTTCACTGCTGCCAAGTATTCCACTGTATGAATAAACCTCACTTTATTTATCCACTATAGTGTTGATGGACATTTGGGTTCCGTGTTTTGCTTTTACATATGTAACTGCCAGGGACATTCTCGTACATGTCTCTAGTGCACACATACAGGAGTTTTTGTAGTGTCTATATCTTGAGAATGACATGCTGGGTCATAGGCTATCTTCATCTCTATCAGGGAAGGAAAAATTCTTGTCCAATCATTGCTCTTTTTTTTTTTTAATGTTTGTTTATTTTTGAGAGAGAGAGAGAGAGAGAGTATGAACAGGGGAGGGTCAGAGAGAGAGGGAGACACAGACTCTGAAACAGGCTCCAGGCTCCAAGCTGTCAGCACAGATCCCCACACAGGGCTCGAACCCACAGACCATGAGATCATGACCTGAGCCGAAGTTGGATACTTCACCAACTGAGCCACAGAGGTGCCCTTGCCCTTTTTTTTTCTTACAAAAACAGCACATGTAGCAAGCACATTTACTATCTTAAGAAAACTTCTTGCTTATATAAAATAGTGATCTTGGATAGACCATATTCTTATGTCTACAGTCAGACTCTTACCAGAACTCTTCCTGATTAGTGATACAGCCATTTTACATTTTTCTCTGTGCTTATAGTCCATTCCAATAAGGCAGCCTACTCCACTGATCTATAAAAAGAACAAGGTGGACTCTTGAGCAAAAATGCAACAGTTAGTTCTGTGAGATTTGGCATAAAAAAATATCATGCTTTTTAAAAAAATTTTTTTAATGTTTATTTATTTTTGAGACAGAGAGAGACAGAGCATGAACAGGGGAGGGTCAGAGAGAGAGGGAGACACAGAATCTGAAGCAGGCTCCAGGCTCTGAGCTGTCCCACAGAGCCTGACCCGGGGCTCGAACTCACGGACTGTAAGATGATAAGCTGAAGTCGGAGGCTCAACTGACTGAGCCACCCAGGCGCCCCAAAAATATCATGCTTTTATCCAGTAGTTAGAAGCAATGATATCTGAAGGCAGTAAACTGTGGTAGGTTAAGCAGTGACTATTTAGTAAAATCACATTCTTCCCTCTGATAAAATAAAGCATGTACTTAGACCATCATTATTTCTTGTCCTTACACCTAAAATGCTTTCAGTCTGTCACACACCTAATAACCAAATTTCAAATGCAAATCTGGAGATGCATTATATATGATATTTATATGGTCTCTTTGTATGGTACTGGAATTTAAAGTTATGTTTCCCTTCTCATGCTAAGGAAAAAGATAGAAAGGAATTAATGCAGTTGGAGGTAAGAGAGAGAGAGAGAGGCATTTAGTAGATATGTCCTACAAATTTGTGTGTATGTTGTGTTGTGTGTGTGTGTGTATGTAGGCACATGTGTGTATGCATGTGTGTGTTATGTATCATACCAAGAAAAGCAACATTATTTATCTGCTTAGGCTTCTTCCTTTCTCAAGTATATTTTGCCTCAGTGACAGGTGTCAACTGTTTATGTTAATAATGAATGAGACTCCAGACAGAGCCACAGTGCCAAGAGGCTAAGAGGCCCCAACCTTCTCCCCATGAAGCCTGATGTAAGATGGTGTAGATCATAAGATAAAGACAACCATTTCAGATAAATATTTTTTATTAATGTTTTAAGTATTTTCCTCAAGATAAAAAATTACCATGACAAAATGAATATGCTTATTCTTGCACTAACAGTAATTCTGTAATCATCAAAGAGGTAGAGGGTAACTTTTAGAATTGCATTGTCTTCCTGCAAAGGTTTGAGTCCTCTCTTCTTGGTCTGCTAGCATGTGGATCCATAATTTTTACCAGTAATCATAATTGAGTAGTTACTTATCACTGATAGGATATAAGGAAATGATTTTTTTAAGCCAGGATTAAGGGAGCATCTCCCAGAGTTTTCTTCACTGGAAAAAGTGCTTGCTTTTTGGTTCTCTATATTCACTGACTTCCCTGAGTAGTTTGAAGCTGGTTAACAAGAATGATACTTTGCAGAGAGGTAGCATGGGTAATCTTTTTCAAAGCATTTCCTATTTTTCCTACATATTTTCTCAACATAAGTCTATATAATGAACTTAAATTTGCCAGAAACACATTTATCTATCCTAAAGTTCTCAGTGGCTCAGTGGCTAATTCTGGCAACCTGAAATCTCTTCACTGAACATGAAGAAGGACCCAATTCATCAGACAATATAATGTCCTGGGATAGAACACTGAAAATTGGATTGGCCTTATCCTAAGGTTTCATACTGTAGATGTGTCAGCTTTCAGTTAATAGGAATATTTGAGGTTTCTTTAATTTACACTTGAGGAAGCAGACTCAGAGGGCTAAAGTGACTTACCTAAGGCCACACACCTTCCTCAAGGCAGGGCACAAAACCGACAGGAACTTCAATTCCCTAAGCTGGTAAGGGGCTGCCTGGGCAATGGAATCACCACTCCATCTTTCTTCTATCCACAGAGGTACATGAATGTTGGCCAGCAGACTTAACTTTTTGTCCTGTAAGCTCCCCTCACCAGCTGAGCCATCTTGGGCATACTACTTGAGTATATATTGTAACATGCAAAATTCTATATCAATATTTTGTAATGTCAGTGAAGATACTCATGTGATTAAGGACTCGTTTCTTATTTGGAGGTGGGGGTG